TTATAGCAGATTTTATTCCTTCTTTCATAAAGAAAATAGACGAAATACACTGATTTCCAAACCAAATTCAGAATCACCAGCAAAAGCAAGCAACACAAAGCCTGTTTATATGGCTGTGGAAGGAAAGGAATAAGGTAAAACCTTCTGTAATCAGTCATTCTATTACATACAAAAGTTATTGTCATCCTTCTGGGCAGCAGCTGTCCTGCCAGCTCTGTAATTTTTTTTATGTGGGGTGAGAAGGGAAAGGGAACATCTAAATATAAATAAAAGATATTCCTTTCTGTCAGAGAATCAGTGCTTTGTCTGATCAAAAAGAAGCTGAAATGTGACACAGAATCGAGTCAAGTCACACAGCGTCTCCAGCTCCATGTTTACTAGATTGTCGCCTCTTAACCACTGCACATGCTGGGTATCCACGCGGTACCTGGCTGTAGAGAAGCGGGGGATGAATATCTAATGAGGCATCACAAAGCACTTACTACACTTGTAAAATTAATAGAAAAGCTGGGGCTGCAGAAATGGAACGTGTGATCAGGCGTGGCAGCCAGGGAGATGCACAGCTCAGTCTCCTTTCAAGAGAGAACTGCTGTCCAGCTGCAAGGGGCGCGGCTGGCCGACAGCCTCGAGCTGCACTGCCTTCAGGATCCACCTCAGGTGTTATGGACTCAATGTTTGTATCCTTCTAAAATGTATCTTTCTAAAGGTTGAATCCTAACCCTCCATGTGATGGTATTAGATGGTGGGGCCTTAGGGAGGTGATGAGGTCACGGGGGAGGAGTCCTCATGAATGGGATTAGTGCCTTTCTAAGAGGAGACTTGAGATTATTTCCTCTCCCTGCTCTCCACCATGTGAGAATACAGTGAGAAGACAGCCATCTTCAAATGAGGAAGTGAGCCCTCACTACACACTGGAACAACCAGCAGCTTGATCTTGGACATCCCATCCTCCAGAGCTATGAGAAATAAATGGCTTGTTTAAGGCACTCAGTCTGTGGTGGATGTGTTGTAGCAGCTGGGGCTGACTATGACATCTTTCCAGCTGATGCCATGCTCTTCCAGGACAGTCCCCAGTCAGCGGATGTCGAGAGTGGGGTTGTGAAAGCCTGGTTGTTCATGCCCATTACAGGGGTCCACTAACAAGCAGTTCTCCTTCCCTAGCTCCCTACTGGGTTGCCTGAGACTTTGTCAGATCTGCATCATGGTCTAAGGCTTTCTCTGCCTACTCCCCCCCGCCCCGCCACTTTTATCTTTCTCAGGCATTGTTCCATGATAATCTTCTATGCTCAATTCTATGCTCAAAGATAATTCTGTCTCCATGTCTGTTTCCCAAAGGACCCCAGGGATCCACTGTATCTGGCTAAACCTGTAACTAATTTAAGGAAAAATATAAATGATTTAAAATCAAAGCCAGAGATTATAAAATGTCTACAAAGTTCTCCACCCCTAAATAAATTTTATTTCCCTAGGAAAAGGAGGTTTGTTTTACTAGCAAATAACCAAGCCTGTGTAAATGTCTTTTTGGGGAGTCTCAACCAGCAATGGTATTATAACAAGAGGGAGGTTTGGTAGAGACTGTTCCAAGTGCAGGGAGTACACTGTCTCTGGGGAAACTGCAAAGAATAAAAGTCAACTAAGATTTTTTTATGCTTTTAATCAGCATGTGCCAAGTAATTTTTTAAAATGCCAGTGATAAAACGGTTTTCCCTGACAGGGCAAAATGCCCTCATGCCTCCCACCTCAGTAACACCACTGTGAACTGGTTCAATTATAAGTGTGAAATAGTCTTTCTTTTAACTACTTTCAACTCTGAAATCTCAAGTTCTCCCTCTTCCAGTCCCTTATTATATAACTGGGCAAATCTGCATATTAAATATTATCCTTCTTAAAACTCTGATATTCTGGTTATTATTTTAAATATCCTACAGTTAACACTGGGTTTGTGTGTCAAGAGGACTGGAGTGATAGGGGTTTTGGTCTGTGCCCCTTCTCACTTTTCCTTCCCTCAATGTAACACTTTATATGTGTGTATGTGATGGGAGGGTCTGGGATATTCCTTTTGTCCTTGATGTTTCCTCCCTGTTTCCAAATCTCAAGGAGCTACATTTGTAAGAGCGAGGTAGTACATTCCTGATTTGTATATTCTATGTGTATTGTATATTCTATGTGTATTACAGTGCTATAGTAATCATACTAGTACACTACTGGTATAAAGACATATAGATCAATGGAACAGAATAGAGAGCCCAGAAATAAACCCATGCATACATGATCAACTGATCGACAAGTGTGGCAAAAATAGTGAGGAAGACTAGTTATTTCAACATATGGTGATGGGAAAATTGGATATCCACATGAAGATCAACAAAATAGAAACCTTAACTTATGCCATACACAACTTATGCCATGTACAAAAATCAACTCAAAATGAAGATTTAAACGTAAGATGTGAAACTGTAAAACTTAGAATAAAACATAGGAGAAAAGATTCATGACACTGAATTTCACAACGATTTCCTGGATATGACACAAAACAAGGAGTAAAAGCAGTAATAGACAAGACAGACTCCATCAAACTGAAAAGCTTCTGCACAGCAAAAGAAACAACAGAATGAAAACCCAATATAAGGAACTAGATAAAATATTTGCAAACCATGTATCTGATAAAGGGTTAATATATATTAGGAACTCCTGTAACTCAACAGCAAAAACCCCTAATAACCTGATTTAAAAATGGATAAAGAACCTGAATAGATATTTCTCTAAGGACGACATACAAAGGGCCGACACATATGAAGAGATGCTTGAGCTCACTAATTATCAGGGAAATGCAAATCAAAACGACAATGGGACTTCACCTCATACGTGTTAGGCTATTATCAAAAGAATAAGATACAACAAATGTTGGTGATGTTGCGGGTCAATTGGAACCCTTTTACACTGATGATGGGAACGCAAAATGGTGCAGTCACTTTTGAAAACAGTATGGCAGTTTCTCAAAAAGTTAAAACTAGAGAAATCTTATTATCCACCCATCCTACTTCTGGGTATTTATCCATAATAAATTTCAGGACATATTAGCAGTCCCATGTTTTCATTCTAGCCTATTCACAATAGCCAAAATACGGAAACAACATAACTGTCCATAGATTAATGAATAAAGAAAATGTGGTCTATACATACAACAGATTATCATTCAGCCTTTAAGAAGGAAATTCTGCAGTATGTGACATCACTCATGAACCTGGAGGACATTATGCTAAGTTAAATGATAGTCACAGAAGGACACATACTGCATGATTCCACTTATATGAGATATGGAAAACAGCCAAACCCGTGCAAGTAAATCATGAAATTGTGGTTTTCAGGGGTTGAGGGGAAGAGTAAATGGGGGTGCTGATAATCAATAGTTACAAAATTTCAGTTATGCAAGATGGATAATTTGTAGAGATCTGCTGAACAATATTGTGCCTAGGGATTATGATAATAATATATTTTACACTTAAATTTTTGTGAAGTGTTCTTAAGTTCTTACATTAAATGTTAACTGTTGTAACCACAATAAAATTAGTAATAAAAAGAAATCCATCTTGCGGGCACCCTGATCTTGGTCTGCCAGCCTCCAAAATTGTGAAAAAAATTAATTCTGTTATTTAAGCCACCTAGTCTGCTCTTTTTTTTTATGGCAGACCGAATAGACTAATATACCAGGGAAATCACCACCATGTTGTTTCTCAAATCCCAAGGTCCCCAGTCACCTCACTGTTTGGCTGTCAGAGTGTCTTCCTATGCTTGTTTGTTTTGTTAAGTTCAGGGCTTCCAGTTATAAGACTGAAGACCTAGAAGAAAGGGGGTTTCCCCATCTTGCTGGGAACTGGAAGTCTCTTGCTCTGTTCTCTGAATGCAAACTATTAAGGGTCACCAGGCAGATGTATGGGATGACTACATTATGCGAACACTTTTCCAACTTCTAACAATCAGATGAAACAGGCATATCTCAGATGTGTGTCAGGATTAGGTATTTTTGGGAACCTCCTGTTCCTATCACTATATCCTCAGCATGTTTGGGAATAAAATAAGCATCAGATTCAGTCCCCGCTTCCCTGTTCTCTGAATACTCTCTAGATAAGAACACCCACCTAGAGACCCTGACCAGTTCAAACACCAAGACTTGTTTCTTCTTTGCTGGTTTGTGCATCCATGGGGATTTAATTTGCTTTATAGCACAAAATCACTCATCTGTGCCTTTGTTATAAATCTCCATAGGTGCAGCACTGCAAGCCTTACATTTGCCCCTTGTGTAGCTTAATTCCAGGCTACTGCTGTCAATATCTGCAAGGATTAGATAATAATTTTTTGTTTTCTTAGAAGTATCTCCTTTATCCACAAGACGCATTAAATCTATAAATAACAGACCATTATGGGATGGAAGGTGCTTCCTGTGGATTTTTAAAAAGGGTTGACCTTTTTTCTCAGGCCTGGATACTGTATTCTCTGAACCAGGAGGTCCCAGCACCTTGATGCTTTCCAGGTCTCCCATGAAATTGCTCTTTCATAGTGACTGAAAGGAGTAAGCAGTAATGCTAAGAGCTGCCCTGGTGGCTCCCAGACCCCAATACTATTACCAGCATCTGTGAGGTTGCAAGATGTAATAACAAAGGAGTATCTGGCCATCTTCCTTGTAACTCAATCATATCTGAGCAAATCAGCTTCTAGCTTCTCCTACTTCCCAATGTGGCCCTTAGTTACATACTTTCAAGTCCAATATGCCTGATTTTTCTCATTACTTTGCTGTTACTTTACAATGCTCAGCCTCAGTAACACCCTGGCAATTAATTGTGGAGCTTCATAGAAATTATTCTAACTCCCTGACCCTTGGTTCAGTTAATCTCTGCCCTCCCTGAAGATAACACCAAGTAGCCAAAGTTTCACACTTTGAATTTTTAACATCTTTTTGTGAACCAGAAGAAGGTGGTTGAATTGTGTGAACACCTGACAAGGTCTGGTGCTTAAAAGTCCTTTAACAACACTTTTTAGATTCACAATAAGTTCTTATCTATAAATAGTTATAATTAAGAGCATATGTGTTAAGTTTCTTAAGTATTACAGAAAGTCTAAGTCCATACTCTGCAAATAGAATGCAGAGCTATAAAAACACGAGTAAATTACCCCAAGTCATCTATGCTTAACAGTAAAACACCAATGACTATTGTAATGAAAAACATGAAATACTTTCTATTTGTGAAACAATACTTCCATTTTCAAACTGTATTTGGAGATGAAAATGAACTCTCCCAGCTACACACAAAGAACCCATAAATTAAAAACAATTGTTTAATTATTAGAAGTTTGCATAGGTAACCAAGACTCATAATTTTCCAAGCTCTGTAGAGCAGTTTCTCAGAGACCACAGCTTCTCACCTAAGTTATGTGTATCAGAGTCATCCTCAAACGCCGAACTAGAAAGCGCCCAGGAGGCCATAATATCCAGACTTCATTTGGAGATGAGGAAACTGATATTCAGAGAAGGTAAATGGCTTGTCCAAGGTTATAAAACCAGTTGATCTTAAACTGAAATTCCTCTCTCTTAACTCCCAGACTGTTGGTTTCAAACCTTGGGCGTTCCCTGGTTAAATCTGAGAGTGGCCTTGGTACCGGGATGGCAAGAAGAAGCCAAAGAGAGAAAGACCACTCCAGACTGGTAGGCGGCAGGTTTAAAAAAACAAGAGAACTTACATGTAAGGTTTCTTTTCAGCAGCCTCAAGACAGTAGGTTTCTGCACCCGACCGCCAGCATCTTGAGTTTATACAGAGGCTTTAACGACGTTCAGTCACATATATGCCCAGATGTTTTTTTCAATAACACATTACGATCTAAGGCTGCGTCTTTGAAGTAGCTCCGGGTGGGGGTGGGGTGTAAGGCACCTTTGATTGCGCAAGTCCAGCTCTAGGGTCAACCAGCGGTCACGTCCTCTCAATGACCTCCTCCAACAGGGGCCAATACTATTTTCCTTACATTAATAATCGATTTTCACGGTTTAGTGTATATCAGAATCACCTGGAGTGCATGTTAAACCCACAGACGGCCGGGCCCCACCCTGAGTCTGATTCAGTTCACCTGAGGTGGGACTCACGCACGTGCATTTTAAACAAGATCCCACACAGCTGCTGATGCTGCTCGTCCCAGGAACCACTCTTTGAGAACTACAGCTCTACAGTAGTTTCCTCTTCTATTTACATATTCTTTTAACTTTTAAGGGCTTTTTAAAACTTCTTATTTTGGAGAATTTTGCGAATAAAGACTAGTGGACAGAAATGTATATGGAATCCCCACAAATCTACTGAGTATGACCAACCATCCAACAATGGGCCATCTAAAGGACTTCTTAACGTACTTAACACTTAATTTTTTCCTGCACTTTCTCCTGAGAGACAGGCATTCTCAGAATTTCCAAAATGCTAATAAAAATTGTATTTTGTATTATTACTCTACTAATTTTCAGTTTGCAGTGTTGCTCAGTGATGGAAATGAAGGCTCAGACGGTTATTAAGTCTGACTTCAGAACTCATCTTGACAGACACTATATTCAATTGTTTAAATTAAAGTCAGACTCACCAGATTTTAGGGCAAAAGCACGTTCCGGCTGCACTTAACTTTCATATGAATAGCCAGTAATGGTGACACCACCTTAGCACTTGTGGCCAACTCTTGTGTGGTTATGTGGTGGCCCAGGAAGATTCAGACCTCCTTGTGGAGTGGAGGTGGCTGCATTTCCAGTCAAAAGTCAAACTCTCAGTATGGTTAATTGTTGTTAGGGTTAGACACCACCACCTGACTCAATTTTCGTGCCAGAGTATGGAGTTCTGCCTTCACTTAGGACCTGAGTCTCCCTGAGACTTGTCAGGGAGAAGGAAATCATCCTTTCCCCTTCTAGGTTCGTCTAGCTGGTCTAATAATTAAATCGACATGAGACAGATTAGTAGGGGAAAATCAGACAAAAGCTTAATAGCATGTATGCATGCGAGAGACACAGGAGAACTGAGTAACTTGCCCGAATGACTGAAGCCCTCACCTTAAATAGGCATCCTCAGCCAAAGACAAAAGAGGATGTAGCCGCTGGGGAGTCAGTTATGGGAGGTGACCAGAAGCACAGTAAACAATTGCTATGCAGATTTAAGTCATTGCCTTCTCCGCTGATAAGCCTTTCTAGGGATTAGAGTCATCCTCTTCCTGATACAGTGAAGGAGACACAACACTTAAAAAAAGGAGACTTTCCTTATCAATGTTAGTGTTTCTTACAAAAAGTTAACTCCCATTTGGTTATCTGAGTTTTTTCTATCTCTGCTGCTTTCTAAAAAATAACCAGCTTAATTAATAATTCATGTGCTAGATCATTAATTATTATTAACAATAATTCATGTGCCAAAGAGACATAAATTTTGGGGTAGCAAATTCTGCTCCCCTACAGACTCTAGTCTCTTGTTTTCAGAAGTGTGCATAGTTTCTGCCATTTATGTGCCTCAGATAATTTGTGAGGCTTAATGTATTAAGAACTTTTTAGATGAATGCCCATTCGTAGTAGCACGTGTCTCTAAATAATTCTCTGTAGTACACATACATATTCATATGCATATACATTACAAGTAATACATATGCATTTATGATTCAGTGCTCAGACAAAATTATAGAACACCCATGTGTGTCAAATAAAATGCCACTGATCATGGCTTATGAAATCTTATCCTAAACTCCTAACCTTTGCAATGTTCTAATAGTTATCACCTCTGGGACATAACTAATTTAGTCAGTGTTGTCTCACACCTCTCTGGTTATTTGTACTGGACATTGTGCTCTGCACATTTTATGATTAGCACAGAACAAGAAGTAAAAGGTCGAAAAAGCTCTGTCTTGAGATAAAGCCTGGCAGTTACAGTACTTTCTAAACACTGACCTGTTCCTGTTTAAAATGGGATTCTGGTTTCTTTTCTTCAAGTTTATTAAACTGGAGTGATGAAGAATGATTTTAGGGAATTTGTGAAGTGACAGCTATTTTTATCTATGATCTATGAAGAAAAGTGAAAATATTAAATATGATACATTTTTATGAGACAACTGACATAATGTGTAAGTTTGAGGTGGCACATGTTGATTTATACATTTATACATTTATGTATTGTAATATGATTGCTACAGTTGCATTAGCTAACACCTTTAGCACATCACATAGTTATTTCTCTTTTCATTGAGAACAATCAAGATCTAGTTTCTTAGCAACTCTGAGGTTTGTAATACAGTATTGTTGGCTATAATCACCACGTTGTGCTTTTGATCTCCAGAATGTACGTATCTACTAGTTGCAAGTTTGTGCCCTGAAACATCTCCCCAATTTCCCCCTTCCTCTTCCCCAGCCCCTAGTAACTACCATTCTACTCTCTCTTTTTATAAGTCCAGTTTTTTTTTTTTACATTCCGCATACAAGTGCTATCATATAGTATTTATCTTTCTCTAACTTATCTCACTTAGTGTAATGCCCTCAAGGTGACAACATGGATGGACCCTGAGGCCTTACAATACTTTTTATATTAAAAGAATCTGCTGTCAATTCAGATTGCTAATTAGTATATGAAAAGGTGCTCAACATCATTAGTCATCAGGAAATGCAAGTTCAAACTTCAATGAGGTATCTGTAGACCACCACCAGCATAGTTAAAATTAAAAAGACTGACAGTAACACAAGTTGGCAAAGATATAAAGTAGCTGGAACTCACCTTCATCAATGGTTGGAGGGTAAGTTGGTAAAACCAATCTGGAAAACTCTTTGATAGTAACTAGTAAAGCTAAAAAACAATACCATATGATCCATCATTTCCATTCTTTGCTATCATCATATCACGATTTATAAAATATATAAATTTGGTCATGCAGCCATAAATAAAGAATATTGCCCACCATTCCAGTTCCATAAGGATTAAATTATTAGCTACTACAGTCACTGATCTACAAATACATCCTGAAATGAATTTAGGATGACACACTCTGTGTTTTGGATAGGCCCCTAGCTAGTTAAAATGCACATCTAAGGAAGAATTTCAATGACCCCAGATTCTTGCATCTTCGCATACATAGATGCACTAAAATCATTAACTGAGATATCTGATCCCTGTGACTAGCAGTAACCTTTTATTAAGATGTATACTTGATTACCTGTATTTCTCAGCCAAAATAATTCATATATATATATATACATATATATATATAGCTCCTGACTGCTAGCCTACCTCTTTGGAGCAGTCCCTCAGAGCTATCTGGGAGGCTGTCTCCCAGGCTATAGTCTCAGTAAGACACTGAATAATCTCAACTCACAGCTCCTATGGTGTGCTTTTTTTATTTTCAACTTGACACGATGACCAAAATTTATATTTGTCATATATATCCCAAATCCTTGGAATTTCCTGAGCAATAAGAGCAATGGGATAATATTTGGACTCTTGTCTTTGGTTCCTAAGGCTGCTTCAGGGAGAGTGACTTTTAGATCCCACCCAAGGGTGGCGGCTCTCCACAGCCTTTCCCCATGCCTTGCCCTATGCATGGATATTCACCTGTATTCTTTATCATAGTCTTTTATAATAAATCAATAACCCTGTAAGTAGAATGTCTCTCAGTTCTGTGAGCTGTTCTAACAAATTAATCAAATCCAAAGAGGGGGTCATGAGAAAGTCTGATTTATAGCCAGTTGGTCAGAAGTCCAGGTGACAACCCGGAATTCCGATTGGCATGCTGAATTGGAGGGAGTCATTGGAGCCTCCAGTTTGTAGATGGTCTGTCAGAAGTACAGGTACGGTCTGCCACAAGCCCAAGCACAGCTGGGCTTGTGACTGGTGTCTGAAGTGGAGGGTGGTCTTGTGGGACTGAGCCCTTTACCTGCAGAATCTGATTCTATCACTGGGTAGTGTCAGAATTGAGTTGAATTCTCGGACGCCCTGCTAGAGTATGAGAATTCCTTGGTGTGGGGAAGCATTCACACGCACACATTGGAATTGGGTCTGGGAACCTTATTTAGCTATATATACAACAGAAATGTCTACACACGTGCACCAAATAACACAGACAGGAATGTTCTTGGCAGCTTTGTACATATATAACTGAAATCTGGGAACAACACAAATAATAATAATAATAATAATAATAATAGTAATAATAATACTGTGACATATTCATACAATGGGATATAACTCACAATGAAAAGAATAAACTACTGATATATGCAAAAATGTGGATGAATCTTAGAGACAAAATATTATGTGAAAGAAAGCCAAACAGAAAAGAGGACAAACGATAAAACTCCATTTATATGAGGTTCAGAACAGCCAAAACTCTTTCGTAATGACAACATTTGCAATCGTAGTGACCTTATGGGAAGTACCAACTAGGAGAGAACACGAAGGAGCTCTCTGGAGAGCTGAATATGTTCAGTATCTTGATTTGGGTACTGGTATCATAGGCGGAAACGTAAAAATTCACTGAGCTTTATACTTGAGATTTGTTTACTTACTAAAATATTTTTAATAGAAATAAAATTGCATATCCAGTAGTGTAGAAAGGCCCCACTGAAGTGACACTTGGATTGGCAGATTTCCAAGTGTCCAACCTTGGTCCCAGAAGGACCTTATTTCTGGAGGTTCTATATGGGCAATAAGATTTAAATGCTGTGTTAAGAGCAAGTGATGCCCTGACGCAGATTTAGTATCATCTCTTTTCATTGTGATATGTCACTCATTCATATAACTGATTGTTTTCTAAAACACAGAAGTTAACAACTAAAAAACAGTTGTCAGCCTGAATCCCTGTATGTCAGTCAGCACAATTTATACAGCTCCTTGTAAGCTACTGTTTAAGTAACTGTAAAGGTGTATTTATTCTTGAAGGACTGTGGTATAACTCAAAGAGAATAGCTTTGCTTAATAAAATATTTATCTTTTGGGGATTTATACAGATAAATATCTTATTTCATAATTTTTTCATGTATCTCTCATTTTCAGATATATCATTTTTTCAAAGAATGATAAATATGCAGACCTGGAAGAAAGGTATAGCCCCCTATTTCCAAACCATAGTCTGGATGGGACTACTTTCCACCAAGCTGGACTATTGTATAAAGGTACACAAGGCAGGAAAAGTGCTCTAGCACAGGAAATTCAGGCCACAAAGACATCTGCTGAGGCACTGACTTTTGCTTTTGCTAAAGTTTTGCACAGTCCTCTGTCATAGTTGCCCTAGATACAAAATCACATGGGGAATTCATTCCCAGGGATGAAGCTGAAGTCACAGGTTTTGTCCTCGGAAATCTCAGCTTTCTTTTTCAGCACTGCCTTTCTGATCTTTGAAATGGAGCAAACCCTCATACTCTGGAGCTGATTTTTACACCAGAGGACATACTTAAAGATCATTTTTCTTTTGGGGAGTGTCTGTTTTTTAAATAGTAACCTTGACATATTATTAAATGTGTCACCTCTCCCAATTAAAATATCTTTTTACAAGCCAGCTGCCACTCTCAGCATGGCATTGGCTGAAACAAGGAGGAGTTTGGAAGACTTTTCACGTCAGTGGAAGTGGTAGAGTCAGAAAATAAATTGAATTCCTTTTAGATGAATCTTTTATGGATCAGCAGATTTATTCAGAGTTACTTAAAAAGCAGTTAACATTCCGTTAGCAACAAACTGTGATCTGTGTCAGCAATGAGACACTATAGTCATTTATTTTAGTGCAAGAAGTCACCTCAGAAAAATATGTAATTATTGAATCTTTAAAAGGCAAATTAATACTGAGGCAAAACTAGGTCATTTTTCTTATGGAATTATGGACATTATGCTTGATTCTCTGCTTCAGTTAATCAAAGCATTTGTTTTATTTTCGTAAGTTTACAGTAAGGGAAGATAAAATAAATTTTTTAAAGGAACAGTAAAGTTAACATATTTTCACAAAGTTCATAGCAATGATCTCAGTAACAAATGCTTGGTGCTAATGTACAAAGGGGATGAGAGATGCTATTTCGGGTTTCCTAAGCCTGTGTCGTGAGGTGGGGCACCAGTAGACATGAAGAGAAGCTTGGCCTCAAATGCTGGGAAATCTTGGAGAGGCCAGCGTTCAGAGGCTGATTAATTCAGAGTGCCCTTCACTTTAACTGCACTGGGCTTAACTTCAAGCCCCTACACTTTAGAAGTTCTTTTGGTGTTAACAAGACAGGAGCAGATAGCAGAAAAACACCCAAAGGGTCTATGAGTCATGCTGAAAGCTGGTTTCTCATAGAGTAGAGGGCCCCTTTTGACTTTTGAAATAAATGGATGACAAGGATGCTGGAGGAAACTGAAAGCATTCATGTTATTTTTTTCTCTGAGTTAATTAAATTAATATGAAGCTAAACCTCGTCTTCTGGGAAGCTGGAGTAGATGTATTTATTCCTTTTCCTCTCAATGAGTACAACTAAAATGTGTATATATATATACATAACTACATATATAATAGTTATATATATAACTCTGAAAGATGGAGAGGAGGCAGATAGGCTAAGGATAACCTTGGAACTCAAGGAATAATGTGTCAGTGAGTTCCCAAGGAAAGCTTGCTCTTTCAGAGAAAGGACTCAGAAAAGGTCAGCCTAGCAGACAGAAAACTTAAACAATAACTTCTCTACTCCAGCCAAATACTACGGAAAAAAACTGTAGCCTTACACTCACCCTCACCAGTAAAGGCCAAATGGGGGCCTAGACTTTCACACTCACACTTGGCAGGTTGTAAGGAAGAATCACAGTCCCCCACAGGAGTGGTGTCAGTGAAGGCTGAGTAGGAAGCAGGACTTTAATATTCATCCCTGCTAGGCGGTAATAAGGCTCTGCCCTCAGCACTGTCAGGGGAGACCACCTGCATGGAAAGCCTGGACATCTATCCACACCCTGCAGCAACAGGATGCTCCTGCCCTCCCAACTGGGGTGGTAGAGAGGATTTTCACCACCTCTCACTCATGATGAGGACACCCTCCATGTGGTACTGTTAGAGGCCATGTGAGGAGCAGGAACCAGGTACTCCTAGCCTTCCCTGCCACAGAGGTAACAGGGGAAGCCAAGAGGAGAGCAGAAATTCTTCCCCACGCAGCAGTAATGAGAAGTCTCCCACCCTCTGAGTGTCAGTGGAGGCCAAGCGGGACAACCTCACTTGGCATAACAAGTCAGTGTCCCGCCTTCTGCTGGAGTGGTATCATATGAAACCAACTGTAACTGGAGGTTTAAACAAGATGCAGGATCTCATAATACCTCAAATTTACAAGTTACAACTAAAAATCCTTCTTCATATAAATAACCAGAACGATTTTAATCTGAATGAAAAAATACAATTAATGCCAACATCAAGGTGCAGAAATGTTAGAATGATCTGACAAAAATTCCAAAGCAGCCATCTGCAACAAAAAATAAAAGCTTGAACAAGAATTATGAACATGTTTGAAACAACAGTATCAGCAAAGAAGTAGAAAGTCTCAGGGAAGAAATGGATAATATAAGGAAGAACAAAATTTTAGAACTGGAAAAACACAGTAACTGAAATAAACCCATCAGATGAGCCCAACAGCACAATGGAAGGGATAGAAAAAAGGGTTAGTGAACAGAAGAATGATTCTAATTCTAATCTGAAAAACAGAGAAAAGGAGAATTAAAAAAAAATGGAGTCTCAGGAATCTGTGAGATTATAACAAAAATCTAATATTCATGCTGTGAGAGTCCCAGAAAGAGAGGAGAAAAAGGATACGGCTGAAAATGTACTTGAAGAAATAATGGAGGAAAACGTCCAAAATGTGGCAAAAGACGTGCATCTACAGCTTTTAAAAGTTGATAAAATTCCAAAGTGGATAAATCCAAAGATACCCATAACAACACACATCAGAGTCAAATTTCTGAAAAATGAAAAAGGAGGAAAAATCTTGAAAGCAGCTCAGAGAAATGACACCTTACCTACAGGGGAAAAACAATTAGAATAACAATTAATTTCTTATTAGAAATCATGGAGGCTAAAGGAAGTGACACTTTTTTTTAAGTGCTGAAAGTAAAGAACTGCCAATCTAGAATCCTATACCCCATGGAAATATTGTTCATGAAGGAGGCCCAGATATACTCACACAAAGGAAAATTAGTGGAATTTGTCACCTAGAGATCTACTCTAAAATAAAACTCAGAGGAATTTCTCTAAACAGAAAGAAAATTATAAAAGAAGGAATATTGGACCATAAGAAAGGAAAAAAGAATACAGTGAGCAAACAATATGGGTAAATGCAGAGACTTTTCTTCTCTTGATTTTTCTAACTTATGGTCAATGTTGGAAGAAAAAATTATAACACTGTCTAATGTGGTTCTAGATATATGTAGAGGAAATGTTCTAAAATTATGTAATAAACAAGGAAGGGTAAAAGGAAGTAAGGATGTTACACTTCACTCAAACTAATGAAATGACATCAGTAGACTGATGTTATGAATATATAATGAGAAAGATGTCATAAAAATTTTATACAAAAAGGTACTCTTAAAAACACTTTAGATGAATCAAAATGGGATTTTAAAAAGGTACCAGTAACCCACAGCAAGATAAGATCATAAACAGAGAAACAAAAAATGGAGTGAAGAAAGACAAATTAAAAAATAAAATGATGAAAAGCAGGAAGAAGGTTAGCATTTTTTCTATTTGGAAAAAAACATGCTATATCATTACAGACCCTGTAGGCATCAGAAAGTAAATAAGGGAAAAATACAAAAATGTCTACATACATATATTTGTTAACACAGTTGGAAAGGACCTGCAGAAACTGGAACTTTTGTTTACTTTTGTTGCAAATGTAAAATGGTGCAGGTACTGTGGAAAACGGTTTGGAGGTTCCTCACAAAATTAATAATAGGATTACTGTAAGTTCCAGCAATTGCCACTGACCTGTACACTTAATGGTTAAAATGGTAAATTTTGTTATGTATACTTTACCACACAAACATAAAAATGTTAAAAATGAAAAACAGCACTTGACACAGATATATAAATAAGGTACCACATAGTATTTATTTCTCTCTGTATCTGGTTATATACTTCACCTCCCTCACCCCAACTTGGTCTGACCTTGGTAAAACATGGAGGCCATCAACCTCCTATACCCCTTATTACATGTATCAGTATTCTTGTGCTTTCTCTGTAAACAGGTCCAGAAGGAAATCCATCTGGTAAACACATTTAGAGTAAAGAATTAGTGCCTATAAGTTTAAGTGTAAAGGAGAAATCTGTCAGAAGGATTCAGGTGTAACACAAGGATAAGCATTATAGACAGACTTCCCCAGTGGAATGAACAAGCCACTGGAATACCATCAGTAAGCAAGACGTATCATAGCATCTCTAGTTTGTCCCCTTCTGTACATTTACCTTATTTCTCTATCTGAATTTGGGCCTTATTGATGCTTTGTCTGCTGCATACATTGTCATACCTCAGCTCCCCAAATTACCTAACTGAATAATTGAGACTGAAAGAACTCCCATCCCAATGCCCAATCCCTAAAGAAAGACCCTGATGGCTTTCCAAGGTCAGTTTCATGCTTTTTCCCAACTGAGTGTGGATGTGGTAGGATGAATATGGATACTGAGGACTCAGATCTTGAGTTCAGTGCTATTTGTCTTTTTAGAGAGAGATGGTGTGCAACATGAAACTACTGGTAAGAGAGAACTAAAGGCATGAACAAAGCAGACAATGTTGGACGAATCCTTTCTTGGTGCCTTTCAAGTACCACTTGCCTAGACAGCCTATGCGTGTAGTGGGGATGCCCTCATCTCTCTGTTGTATGGATGTCAGCAGTTGCTATATCAGCATTAGTGGATGGGAATGATCTATCAGTTCCTGTTAGTACCTCTCCCATACTCTTTGAACACTCACTGTCTACTGCATAACAACCCTGCTCCATTGCAAACTTCTGCCTAAGGGCTTTCTTTCATGTATGTGTGAATCAATGCCCTTAGAAAGTAAATGCTCCTAGGGAGCAACCCTTAGCAGTGACAAATGAGAACTCGAGGATAAATATGGGCCCAACTTAGCTCTGAGAAAGGCGGCGGGGGGTAACTCTGAGGCATGTTCCATTTTGGGTTCCAGAGATCCCGAGGAGTGAGCCCCATTTGGACAGAGAACAAATCTGCTAACTCACCCTTTTTTTTTTCCGCTTCCTCCCCTTCCACATATCATCTCCCTTTCTCACTCCCCTAATGGTGCTTTCTCTGATCAACTCCCAAATAAACTAACTACCCTCAATACTATATAAAGACTTCTCTTCTAGACACAGCATAAGATAGGACATAGGACACAGATTGACAAATGGCCCATCTTCAGGGATGCAATGAGGGAGGGGAATGGGAGGTGCTGGTAATTAACAAAAGTAATTAGGCAGGAGCCATGAGAAAATTTCAGGTCTGATTTGGACCCGGCTGAGTCAGGGTGTAGATTATGACTAGGGCTTGAACACTAGAGGAAGATCTGACCTATGAAGGGAAGGAAAAAAGAATCATTGGAGATGAGGAGTCAATATCCTTAGATCATGGAGCAAGCTCAGTATCAGACAAGCTTAAGGAAGTCTTATCCCCTTGGACTCTAAGCAGATGGAAACACATAGGGAGCAGGGCCCTGCTGGCTACCTGGAGAAATGGGATTCATGTGGTCAGTGACCTGAGGTGTATTAGGGAACCTTCTCAGCTGTGATCCAGAGGAGTGAATTAATAATTCATTAATATAGTCTTAG